GCAAAAAGTGATTTTATTATTATTATTATTATTATTATTATTATTATTATTATTATTATTTATTTTATTTTTTTTCAACAATTGCTGGCCCGATTTTCCTTAAATCGGTCCGAACCAGTTTCAGGTCTGGCGTCCCGTGATTCGGCCCACTCGATTCATGGGTCAAATTTCAGGCCGGTTCGCCTTCGTGCAGGCCTTTTGTCCAGTAGATGTACACCAATTTGACAGCCCTCGCGGGCCCACCCTCATGTGAGATGGTTGTCAAACTGGTGTACACTCAGCATTATTCAATCAAAATTGGATAAAAATCGCAGACCCCACCCCCATGTGAGGGGGTTGTCAAACTGGTGTACACTCAGTACTATTCAATCAAAATTGGAAATGCCCAAGAGTTTCATTAATGGAAAGGGGGCTTGACTTTCTAATCCCGTTGACGACATCAAAACTTATCATACTAAATCTGGACTGCCCATTCAACACCACATCCACTTGCACCTCAATGTCGTCGTCTTCCTCCTCTTCTCCTCCGAACTTGGTTCGACATATTCAAATCACCTTCTGAATTGAACGAGAATTCATGATGAATACATGTTACAATGATTATACTATTGTTTTCTCCTTAATTTTTGATCTTATAATCTCTAAACAATTGTGACCAGTTATGGCCAACTTTGTCTTTACTGTGGCTATTTGCTACTAGATTTTTTTTAATTGTAACTGTATGCAATCAAATTAATAGTGACTTGATCACATGCAGTCACAATTTAGACATATCTGATCACAGTTAGTCATGGATAACACAAGTTTGGTCATTATAATTTTATTCGAGATTTACTTTGTATTTATTGAAGAATTTAGGTTGAGGAGGGCGGTTAATGAAGCTATATTAGAATATATAGATTTTAAATTAGGTGAGTATGGATTTTGAATTTAAGGAATATGTGCAGGAAATGTGTAGCCTTACGAAGAAGAAGATAATCGATGTTAGGTCAAGACAATTTCAAAAATTTGATTTTGGGTGATGGTTGCAAGAGGTGGTGGCAGTGGATGTGTGGATACTGGGAGTTCAAAGGTAGTGGGCTACAGTGGGCATCGACAATGACGACAATAGNATACTTGCTGAAAATATTAAGAGAGTGAGAAAATAGAGATTTCAAACTTGTGATTGTGAGAGTTTGCTATATTTTCATTTCACAATACCATAATTTATAACAAAAAAAAAATACCGTTACTATACATTGCAATTTTCGAAAAAATAAAATAAAAAATAACAGTCAAACGGTCACAAGATTTGACCCGTGACCATTCTGCAGGCTGCAGCAGGAGCTTTATTTAAATTTTATTATTATTATTATTATTTTTTATTTTATTTTTTTTCAACAATTGCTGGCCCGATTTTCCTTAAACCGGTCCGAACCAGTTTCAGGTCTAGCGTCCCGTGATTCGGCCCACTCGATTCATGGGTCAAATTTCAGGCCGGTTCGCCTTCGTGCAGGCCTCTTGTCCAGTAGATGTACACCAATTTGACAGCCCCTCGCGGGCCCACCCTCATGTGAGATGGTTGTCAAACTGGTGTACACTCAGTACTATTCAATCAAAATTGGAAATGCTCAAGAGTTTCATTAATGGAAAGGGGGCTTGACTTTCTAATCCCGTTGACGACATCAAAACTTATCATACTAAATCTGGACTGCCCATTCAACACCACATCCAGTTGCACCTCAATGTCGTCGTCTTCCTCCTCTTCTCCTCCGAACTTGGTTCGACATATTCAAATCACCTTCTGAATTGAACGAGAATTCAAGATGAATACATGTTACAATGATTATACTATTGTTTTCTCCTTAATTTTTGATCTTATAATTTCTAAACAATTGTGACCAGTTATGGCCAACTTTGTCTTTACTGTGGCTATTTGCTACTAGATTTTTTTTAATTGTAACTGTATGCAATCAAATTAATAGTGACTTGATCACATGCAGTCGCAATTTAGACATATCTGATCACAGTTAGTCATGGATAACACAAGTTTGGTCATTATGATTTTATTCGAGATTTACTTTGTATTTATTGAAGAATTTAGGTTGAGGAGGGCGGTTAATGAAGCTATATTAGAATATATAGATTTTAAATTAGGTGAGTATGGAATTTGAATTTAAGGAATATGTGTCGGAAATGTGTAGCATTACGAAGAAGAAGATAATCGATGTTAGGTCAAGACAATTTCAAAAATTTGATTTTGGGTGATGGTCGCAAGAGGTGGTGCTAGTGGATGTGTGGATACTGGGAGTTCAAAGGTAGTGGGCTACAAACCCGTAGCTGTTACTGCTGTTATCTTAGTTTTGACGATTGTGGGTATGTGAAATGGGGATGGAGATTTAGGAAGAATTGAATTAAGTGATAGGGTGTGGTGGTGTGAGGTAGGGTATGAGATTGTGATAAATTGATTTATTTATCACCCGATTTTTGAAAATTATACAATAGTATTATTCATTTTAAAATTATATTCTTAATGTGTGGTGGTTATTAATTTTCTCCAATATATAATGGGCGTTAAAAAATACAAGGATTTTCATTACTTGGAAATAATCAAATCAAATATTCCATAAAACGAAAATAGGATATTCTTTTGGCACATTGACTAAAAGGTTTCGCAACCAATAAGCTCCGAACACGTCACGAGCTCACTGAACCACGAAACATCTGATTATAAAATCCATTTCTACATAACCGCACGGTTCCACGAAAGCCACAGAAGCATTGCTAAAGTTTCTTTCTACTTTCTTTCTCTAGGGTTTATTAGCCGCCTCTCATAATGCCTCGCCGTAGCTCTGGTGGTGAGTTTTCCGCTTTTCCTTCTTCATTTCCGTCAAATATATCAAGATATTTTCCGATCTAATATACTTTAATGGGTTTTACACGTTGTACATGTTTCTGTTTAATTTCGAAGATACTGTAAAGTGTAAAGAGGTTCCTTTTCATTTTTGCGTGACTTAGTTTAGCCTATTTCTCCAGGTTTATATCACTTCCTTGGTTGAGATAATATCGGGTATAGGGTTTTGAATGCTGTACTCCCTGAATGTTTTTGCTTTTTGTAGAATTTAATTGATATATTCTGATAAACGTGCGTAAGAGTCTTGCTTTTTAGGAAAGCTGCCGTATTAATTATTTATATTAGCTAAAGGCTCACCCTGAGTATTGGCTAATTGAAGGTCATTTTGTGCTTGTATGTGCTTGGAGTAGACTATCGTGAGATATCGGTGTCAGTATCTTATACCTGATTCTCTTTATGTATGAGACGTGGGACTTTACTATTACTTCAAGTTGTCATTGTTTTGTTTTATTTTATTTTTTTCTCCTGTTTGCCATGATGCTATCAGTATGATGGAAGAGTGTGATTTAGTTCTTGCAAGCCTTATTTCTATTTACTTTTTGGTTCTATTTCTTAGTACATGTTTGATACAGATTTTTTGAGAATTGTTCTTTCAAAAATGTATTTTTTGATGAACATGTAGTTAAAAAAAGTTATGGAAAATGTAAATATTTTTTTGGAGAACGTGGAGTTGAAAATGTGTGTGGGAGAGAAGTGATTTCTCAAAGAACAAGGGCTTTGCTTTATGGAAAACATACTTCAGATGGTTGACTTGATAAACTCTGAATTTCTTCTTTCTTCCTTCCCTTTTATTTTGGAATGACCATTGCAATTAGCCCTGGTTTTTTTGCAAGATAAAGCTTGGTTTGTTTTTTTATTTGCTTAATGTTGATGCTGGTTTGAGATCTCTATTTAAAATATACGTTTATTTACTCAAATGGATGACTTAAGTTCTCCCTAATTGCTATGGATGATTTCTGTCAACCCTATCTGCTAATGTTACAATTGACATGCAATGTGGTTCTGTTAGTGTATGTCTAGCTTTTATAGAAGTCAATCGCTTATAACTTTTGATATCTATTTTGCAGGAAGATCTGCACGTCCTGCTCCTCGTGCTGCTCCAGCACGCAATCCTCCTCAGCCAGGTAACTCCATTGATCATTCAAGAGTTCGTCAAATAGTTTTTCGACCACCTAGTAGTCTTCTTGAATTTCCAACTCCAAAAAATAAAAATAAAGAAAAAACCAAGTTACCATTTCTCTTTTGACTTAAATTTTGTTGGACCCAACATTGCAGGTATTATATAATTTTGTTAAATTTACTATCATACATGTTGCTTCGGAGCTCACAGCGTCTCATGGTTGCAGTGAATCATGCTCCTCCTCCAGTTCCTGCTCAAGCCAGCAGTGGTGGATCCATGCTTGGGAGCATCGGTTCAACCATAGCCCAAGGTAGAGAAGACATTTTTCTCAAAAATGAACCGTATACTATCTTACAGGATGAATGACAAAAATTTGAATGAATCTCCTTGTTCTTCAAATTCCATAGGAATGGCTTTCGGCACTGGAAGTGCAGTGGCACACAGGGCTGTGGATGCTGTTATGGGTCCTCGCACAATTCAACATGAGACTGTTTCTTCTGAAGCAGCTGCACCAGCAACTGCCGCAAACAATATGGGTGGCTCTGATGCTTGCAGCATACATTCAAAGGCATTCCAAGATGTATGTCCTCATGACTTTAAATTGAAGTTCAATTTATTTAAAATATTTAAATTAAGATAATGTCATCTACGACTGCAATACTGAAGTGATTCTGTTTTAAATTTGTAAATCTGTGACATGTGGCCTTGATTCCCTTGATTTCAATTTGGATGGTGTAGTTGTTTGGTTTGGGTAAAAGCTTAGCCTAATGCTTCTTGTAAATAGATGTTATCTTAAGATACTACAATTTGCAGTAGTATAATAATTCTAACATACATGGGGTGTTGAATCTGACATTTCTGATTTTATATTGGATCCTAACATATTAACTTTATCATAGGATACATATGACCTAGAGAACATGGCAATCTCTGATTTTAGCTTCATCCCTCTCTGTATGATTTTATATTTCACTAATTTGATCCAGTTTAATATCTTCACGCCAGTTTGCTTTTTGATTGCAAAGGGGAAGTTTCTCAGAACATATGTTGATCTTTGATTATTTTTGCAGTGCTTGAATGGATACGGCAATGACATCAGCAAGTGTCAGTTCTATATGGATATGTTGGCAGAGTGTAGGAGAAATTCAGGTTCTATGATGAGTTCCTAAGACTGGTATCTCGGCCTCATGAGCTCCCTGATGCATCATTTGTGTTTCTGATTTCTGGTGAACCTTATGAACTATAATTGAGTATTCTTGCCAGTTGACATTTTACCATTGAACATGTTACTGGTGTTTTTCAATAAATAAGGGGCTGTTCTCTTTATATTTCAGTTTTGAGTTTTAAATTCATTTTGTGTTTTGTGTTTCGAGGATCTGTTTAAAAATTACTGAAAATGGGTTTTTTTGTCATTCTGAAAAATTGTTTCTCAAAACATAAAAATGAAAAACGCGTTTATTTTGAAATTTTGAGAATATTTTTTTATAATATTTTATTTAAGAAATCTGATTATTCAATAAATTGTAATAGTTTAATGTTAATATAGTATTAAAATAACATATAAATTTTGAAGTTTGTGAATTTTGAAATATTTTTTTCCAGATAAAAAAAAAAAAAAACCTAAATTGAATTTTGCGAGTCCTTTTACATAATTTTTGACAAGAATTAACTAGCATCAAATCATAGTCTAACCTAATTGAGTTGCAAAAGAAGAGTACTAATCTCATGTGGATCCGATAATAAATATTTTGAAATCAATTTTATCGAGTTCATATTAGTTTTCACAATTCTTGTTAAATACAATTTTGATTGTTTAAATACGATGACTATTATGAGTGATAATAAATAACATTACTCATTAATTGTAGATAAATCGCTTATAAGTAGAAAGGCAACATAAGCACACAGACTTTAGAAAATGCAATGATGCATCAACATCAGCCTATTGTAACATATCTTTTCAAATCAGAGTTCGATTTTCAATCTCTCACAAAGTAAATTACCAAAAAGTAAAACACAGTTACACTAGAATACAAGGATAGATGTGAATCTAAATTTACGAATCTCTCAACTTAAATTATTTACAATATTGACTATTTGAGAAATTGGCTGATGTTGCCTCCAAATGCTATATGCAGTTAAACTAAAATGAGCGAAACTAAAATCGAGCCTCGTGGATTCTTCCAGCTTTGGCATACATGTCAAGGAGTGAGCTAACAAAATACATATGGGAAATAAATGGGCTTTTAACTAGAAGCGAATGAATTAGCTTTCCATTTTGGAGCCCGAATAAATCAGCACAAAAGGTCAGCACTGTTGCAAAAGTGAACTCATTGGGATCGGTACCTGGAACAATTCCATGTTACAATCACAACATAAGAAATAGTGAAACCTTAATTTAACATTAGATATAGAATTTACATATGGTGCATAAAAGTATTTACAATCTCAATCCTCTTTATCTTCAAAGCATCGATCCATGACTTTTTCTCCATCCAGAAGTGCAAAAAATTTCTGCTCTAATATTACAAAAGATGACAATCTAATAATAGTTTCATCTATCAGACCAATCTTGTGTAATGTGGCCACACTGTCATCCCATTCACCATCAAGAATTTGCTGTATAAACAAATTTACGACAGAAGACTGCAATGGTATCACCGACTCTTCTTCTAGATGTGCCCCCGTCTTCTTGAAACCAAGCGAATATAATGCCTCAGCTATAATTTGAACAAGTTCAACTTTCTTAACCATCCCTATTGAACCAACAACTTCATCTTTCCCTTAAGAGGCAAGCGGTTGAGCCATCGAGTCACTCGATGAGAAACTAGATTGCTCTCAAAGGGATGTACCGTTTGAAAGACCTCTTAATGCCCCAGAGGACACTTTCCCGCGTTTTAAGGGCGGTTCATCATCCTCTACACTTCCCATTAAATGTACCACTCAGTCCATATATAACACAGTCAGAAAGCTCAATGGTAAAATCCTTATCGTAAGACCTTGGGGGAATCACAAACAATATTCTGCAGAGAACAACGAAGAGAAAGTATATGAATTTGTCAACAAAAATGATCACAACACTTGTGCAAGGATTAAGAGAGGATATCAAAGATTTACATATTTACATTAAAAAAAAATGTTATGGCTAGAGTTTGACAGGAAACAACTTAGCAAACATCTATTTATTCTTGAAACATAAATAATTAAACGACGAGATTTCAAATATTTTGCTTACATCAAAAAATCACTGGATCAAACCTAACAATTTAATATCTAAAAGTAGAATAAGTTTTGAGCCACATTAAAATTTTCATTTTCATTCTTCTACTCCTTTTAACCACACATTTTTCAAGCTTGACAACCTTAAAGAAGATTCAAACATTTTCTAGAGAACTCAGAATAAAGCTGCAGAACTTAAGTCAAGCTTGACATCATGAAACTCCGGTGCAAGCAAGTCTGGAATTGTGTTTTATTCCAGTTAACTATATCATTTTTAACTAATTTTGTACTTATCTTTCATACATTGAATAACCACCTTCCTGAACCTCTTAACCTGGGAGAAATGTGGAGACAATATAGCCAAAAACTAAAAATTAAAAGCTCCCTTTCTCAATATGCTTTCATTATTGAATTTAACTACATAATCTTTTCAATATGGAAATGTTACCTTTGAGCAAGAAATTTACCAAATCCAGTAAAGTGTATATAAACAAATCAGCCAAATTTGGATACTCTGCAATTGACAACTGCCTTTATATTTTAGTTTTCATGAATAAGCTTTTTTGGGTATTTTTCTTCTTCAATTTGCAAAGGCTCTAACCACATTGCATTGCAGTACTTAATCATCATTTGTCTCAAATACCAGGAATATCTAAAACATAAAAATGTAAAAAATCCTCAATAGCTCATTGGTTCCTCTAAATACTTTTAGATCCTATGCAGCTCAAAAATCAAGACTTAACAAGCGCTTGGTGCA